CTGCAGGGGCGTGCGTTGCTATGTGATTCTTGCGAGCCGCAACAAGTGGATGCCACAGGGTCTTCCCTTTTCCTAAGCAGTCCCTGGAGCTCAAAGCAGCTTGCTTTTGGGAAGACTTTGCTTGCAGCTCAAAGGGGGTGCCGCATGCAACCCTCAACCGATTTTCTTGCCCCATGGAGCCCACCCTCCTCCACCCTCCTCTCCCTGGGATGGAGCCCACCCTCGGCTGGCTCACACGCCCAGGAAGGTGCTCCTCCAATGGCATTGTGCCAAAGCTCAGAGATCGATGAAATCCTACATGCCCGCCTATTAACCACCACCTCAGTATGAATTGGCAAAGATTCATTTCATACGCCTAAGCGCAGTATTACATTACTTCTTATGATTTGGCTTGGAACGATAGGTTGCGACAGGTTGACCAACTCAAATAGAATCAACGAAATTGGCAGGACCCAACTGCTGAGTCAACATCTTCTGGGGCGACCCTGCCGGTGTCCTACTAAAAACTGTTCGAAGTCACAGTCTGTCCAGTCTGTCATGCTTTGGCGGAGGCCTTGGGCTGCAGAGGTTTCCGGCACCAGGAGCTACAGGGAGGCGCAAGCTCTGGTCATGAGCAGTTTTGCTCGGAGTCTCTCTGGCTCCATATTCACACATAAACATGCATCCCAGATCTTGCTAGCTGCTTCCTGCTAGCCCTGTATGCATCCCCCTCTTGAGCCAGGTTCACAGCGCCAAGGCGTCCTAGCACATAGAATCAGGGCGAGGTCCCGACATGTCAGGATTCCGCTGCTCCGTTGATGCTCGTAGTTGGGACCGGCTTCTGGGTTCCCAAGGCCTTTTTTGATGGCATTTTTCTCTAGGCATGGAGGGTTTCAAACGCAGCCTTGTGTTCCTCCATGCGCGGCCTTTGCTTGTCGGTAACGCTTTCTGTTGCGTTGCGCGCGTTGATTGCACCGCCAACACCTCACCAATAGCATTACCCAAATCACCACTAGTTAATATCCCAAATTACCCGCACCACCACCATCACCACCGTCGCAACCATCACAATCATCACCGCCAACACAAGAATCTCCATAATGACTACCAGCGCAAACGCCACCATCAGCACCATCACAACCACCACCACTACCGCAGCCACCACCACCGCGACCACCACCGCCGTCGCCAGCAGCAGCAGCAGCGCTGCCCCACCACCGCCATCGCCACTGCCACCTGAAGGATAGCAGTCTGTTTGGGGTCGTCCGCTTTCAACTGCTCACGAAGTTCTATATTTGGCGAGTGGATGCGAGAGGCATTGCCATATTTACCAGCAAGATTCTGCCGTGAAAGTGAGGCAATGCACCCGGCTGTTTTGCAAGCCGATGACCCCTGCTTGTGAAACGCAGCATCAAATGTCCGCAGTTGAGCGAAGCGCCGTCCTGCATTGAAAGCTCTGCTCGGTCTGGCATAGCTCAAGCTCCCAAAGCAGTCTTGCCTGTGGCGGTTTGAACAGGCCTGCCGGCATGCCACAGGGTGTGAACCTGCAAAGAAGTCATGACAAGTCTTCTCTTCTTACTGACCCTGTGGGGTTCCTGACTGCAGTGCAAAGGGATCCTTTTGCGAGGAGCAGCGTGGCGCCAGGTTGCAGTGTTAACTGATTTCCGAGCGCACAACAGCGGCATAAGCTGCCTTGATCAGAGCCGTCCCCATGTAGAGCATAGGACTCAGATTCAGTGCCCGCATAGGTGGGGACTCGCAAACTTGCACCTATTCGCATCACATCTAAAGCCTCCCGTCTTGACGGTCAGCAGGCTATCTGCCACCGTCTTTGTCGGCTGCCGAGCAAAGCACTTTCCCGACCAAAGGAGGTTCCTAGAGGTCATTCACACTTACCCTGCCTCTAAAGTCTGAACCCCACATCTGGACTTCTCCCCGACCTCCCCAGGCAAATTCTGGCTGTCCGACAGCCTCCCTGCTTACCGCCAAACAGCCCAAGATTTAGCAGTCCATGTTGACGATTGCATACGAGCATGAAAGCGGCAAAAAACAGTCACTCAGGACAGATTCCGGAGAATCAAGCCTGGCGCTGCTAGCCTCGAGAGATATTTTGGGGGCTTCCACCCCAAATTCTTCCATCAAGGCTTTCCGACTTAGGTGTTCTTGAGTTTGTCCAGTTGCCTTGTGGAAGCCCCTTAGCTAGAAATGAATGCTAGCCGCAGGCAAAATGCTGCTCACGCTGGACATCCGTTTGCAAGGACCTGCTCAACAGCAGCGCTTTGGAGACATCTCTGGACTGGACTTCTGCAACATGAAGTTGAGGGCGCACTAAGACAAGGAAGATTTGGGTCCCCCCCCTAAGATCCCTTGTTCCAGGCAATCCTGTCAATCTTGACAACCTCCAAGATTCATTTGCAGGGAGGCCTTGTTTGCATAGCCAGTGGGCCGGGCGGCATCAGCCTGCGGCGAGGCCG